AAAGAGGAGCCTCCAGCCCAGTGGACACTCACCGTCCTTATTACTGGTGACTGGGATGTTGTGGACAGTGCGTAGCTTGAAGCAGGATCCTGTGAGCACCTGCAGCTCCACTGAGCTCAGGACGAAGGCCTGGAGGTCTGGGAGAGGACAGGTAGGGAGCCTCAGCAGGACGCAGCCAGAGCTGTCCCCAGGGGATCAGACCGCAGCAGGCTGCAATCGCACGGGGCCTCCCTGTGGCCCATGGGACTCAGGAGCTGGGGCAGCTCCCATGGGGGCCAGGAGCCCCTAGGGGCCCTCAGCAGCCCTGGACTTACCCTTTTTCTGCAGTTTCTGAATGGCCTCCCTCCACTCAGACCTCTCGTAGTCAGATGACAGCAGGAACAGGTAGCTCTGGAAACGAGAGGGCGATGCAGAAAGCTGTATGCAGACAGGGCCACGCGCAGAGCCCCAGAGGTGCCGAGGTGGCAGAAATCACAGTGCTGATGGGTGGCTGGGATGGAAGGTCTGTGGTGCAGCCACTGCTCTGTACACTTGAGCCCTGCTGGGACCCTCCAGATAGTGGCTGAGAGGGCCAAGACTTGTCCCTCCCTGGCCAGCACAGTGCAACACGGTCCCCTGCACCTTGCTCACTGCCTCCAGCCTGCCCTCCTCCTCACCTTGCCGTTGCGGTTGTGGATGCGGAAGGGAATGGCGGGCGAGTTCAGAAGCAACCAGAATTCGTTCTCAAACATCTTCTTTTTGAGACGTTCAATGGCCCGGCTCTGCCCCTTGTTGGCTTTCTGAAGGCAGGGAGAAGACAAAGGGTCTGGGTCAGCCTGGGACACATGGACAAGACCCCCCCAGGCACCCCCATCATCCGTGTGTCCCATCTCCAGGATGTGGCATTAGTTGCCCATCCGTGACCCCACACTGGGGCAGATGGTCCAGTCCTGTGGGCAACCCAGCATGAGGCCCAGGCCTGCAGCACCAGCCAGCCCCAGGCACCCCCACCCCTACCTGGCCCCCCGCACCCTTCTCTCACCTCCTTCTGCACCTCGCTCTTGATGGCTGAGATTTTCATCTTCATGTCCTCCAGCTCGTGGTCAGGGATGACATGGACCTGCGGGCAGTGCTCGGACTCCTCCGGTGACGGGAACACCAGGTCAGCCAGGGGCACGTACCACTTGCAGTCATACTGCTGGTGCTTCCTGCGGCCAAGAGGCAGGTGCTGAGCAATACCTCCTGGCCCCTGCCTGATCCTCCACTCTGGCCCATCTCCTGGAGACATCACCTGTCCTGCTTGAGGATGGGGCGTGCAGCACATCCACCCAAGCCTAGTGCCCTCCTTACCCCACTGCTGTTTTCTTCAGCTTGGCACAGAGCAGGACGTCAGTGAAGAGGAAGACGTGTCGCAGCTTCCGTGAGCCCTCCGACAGCTCCACCAGGAAGCCATCCTTGATCAGCTGCCGAGTCTGCAGGGAGACAGGGCTGGTGTGAGAATGGGCAGAGAGCGAAGGCCAACAAACCACAAGGGTCAGCCACCCTAGATCCTCTCCATGGCTTGCCCAACAGGAACATTGGAAGGTCCATGTCCCCCGGATGCCATTATGGTCCCTTGCTCTCAGTAGGGTGCCAGCAAGCAGCCCCAACCCCGCCTGCTGGGGCTGCATCAAGAGAACCCCTCTCCATCTTCCAGCCAACCACTATAGGGTGGCCCAGAGCGGAGACGTTAGCCGGGAGCTTGCAGAGAGCTCAGCCGCTGCCCCGCGCCCAGGCACTGCCCTCCCTGCCTGCCTCACCTCCCCCTTGGGGGTGGTGACCGCTGTCCTCCGCGGATCGATGTCCTCATTGATGCTGGAGAGGAAGTTCTGCGAGATGCGGAGGGCGTCCTGGAGCAGCGGGTAGTCGGGGTGGTCGGTGGGGGTGTGCTTGAGGAGGTCCTGGAAGGGGTTGGCCACGGGTGAGCAGCCCGAGGGTACTGCCCTCTCGCAGCACCCACCCTGGGGTGCTCCCAGAGGACCCCAGGCAGCGCTTCCTGTGACACGGGCAGCTCCCAGTGAAGAAGCTGCCAGGTGATCATCTCCCAGGAGTGATGGGACCTGGCTGCAGCATGCCGTGGGGATGGCAGAGCTGCCAAGAGCCCGCTCCAGGCTGGGCAAGGCTGTCCCAGCCCCAACACCCAAGGAAACATAGCCTCCATTGGCCATTTTGCCCCATATCTCAGCATCCCCCCTCCAACCTCTCCCACCACCTCTGGGCTGGTGTCACACTCACGTGCAGGACGAGGGTGCTCCGTGTCACGCGGTCAATGGGTTTGTACAGCAATGCTGTGGAGAGACAAGAGGCGTCAGCAGCCACCTGCCTGCCAGGACCCAGCACCTCTCCCCTACTCCGTCCCCACCAGAGGAGCCAGCACAGTACCCTGCAAAGGCTCCTGCTGGGCCCCGCACCCTGCTGTGCTGGGCGGCAGGATAAACAGTGGCTGGGCTGGACACTGGAGCAAGCAGCAAGACGTAGACGGGATGGCTGGGCCCAGCGGCAGCAGTGGCTCCATGCACACCTTGATTTTGGGGCTGCACCTGAGTGCTGCCCTGCACCAAGCAGAGCACAAGGAGAGCTGAGCACTGGGCTCTGCTCCCCAAGCCTTTCCCAGCACCGAAGATGGGGCCACAGATGTGCCCAGGACCCTGACTGCCACCGCAAACCAGTTCTGTCCCTGCCTGCACCCCAGGCGCAAACAACCTGCTATGCTGCCACACTTTTGGGGGGACACACGGTACGACGCTGGCAGGTGCTCACAAGGGAGAGGAGCACTGGTACAGACCCGCTGGCACAGAGTCCTGGCCTGCTCCGAGGGCTAGCGGCCACCATGCCACGAGGGTCTTTGCCCCCTTTAACGAGGGGTCTCTGCAGGAGGCGACAAGCACAGGCAACGGCTGCGTGCACTTCCCGCAGCGCCCTGCTCCAGGCGCATCCCCTCGCCAGCCAGATCTGCCCTTTCCCTAGGACAGGGCACGGCAGGGACCCCGACCCAGTGCTGTCCCGGCTGTGTCACGCCGTCCCTCACGGGCCTGACGTGGGCACTGAGTGCACGTGCTAAGCCAGTTCCCATTCCTCTCTGCACAGGCTGGTCTCCGACTGCAAAGCCGGAGGGGCTCCATCATCATCATCATCACCGCTCTGCCCTACTTCACGCAGCCACGGGACATCCCTACCGCAACCGTGCCGGCACATCCTTCTCTGAAAAAGGCAGCCAGTCTTAACTCAGGAGCTATTGGCGCAGTCCCTGCCAGCACATCTCTGCTGGCTAACGGCTCCCAGGTAAACAACTTCCCCGTGCGCGAGCGGGCCTCCTCACCCGGCCGCCTTGCTGTGACACGGCTGCCAAGCGGAAGAGCCGTTTGTCATTTGTCGCCACCAGCAGCCGGGAGCTTTTGCAGTTTCCCCTTTCCCTCATCGGTGGGTCCTGCACCGAGCCCGTCCCAGCCCAGCAGCAGCCCTGGCCCCAGCCAGCCCCGGGTGCAAGGGGAACTCTGTCTGTCCTGCGGCAGTGCAAAGTACAGCTACAGAGACCCCAGGGGTCGAAGCATCGTCCCAGCACCCCTGCCTGTGTCTCCTCCCTGTGTCTCCCCCGCTGGGCTCCCGTTATACCCCTCGCCCCCACATACAGAGGGGAGCAGAGCAGCTCTGCAACGGGAAGGGGTGCAGAACTGGCAAATGCACAGGACCAGGCTCACAGCACCAACCTGCTATAGCCGGGGACACAACCCCCCTTTTTTATCCCACGGAAAGCTTGCCATGAACCCTTCTAGCAGGAAACAGACACCAGGGACTCTCTAGAGGCTGGACCCTCTTCCTTTCCATCCCCTCTTTAGGAGGGCAAACCCACGGAGCGTGCACACAGCGCTGGCTCCCAGCACCCTGTGGCTGGCCACTTGCATGTCTCTCAGCTATTTATACCGAGATAGATGCATCTGGATTTTCCCTTCGATTCAGATCACTTCCCCAAACTGAAGGGCCCAAGTGAGGACAGGCTTCAGCCAGGAGCAGAAGAGGGAAATGCACAGCCTCTCCCCACGCTCCGCTATGAGTCACGGAGCGAGGGTCACGGAGCGAGGGTCCTATCTCGTTTCCCTTGGAGGAGCTCGGTGGAGGCGGAGGGTAGTGTCGAGTTGCATCAGGCCACAAGAGAAGGGCCCGTGTCCTGGCAAACAGGGGGTCTGCTTGGGAAGGGAGATCCTGGGACCGGCCCCCAAACCAGGGGCGATTCCCCGTGCCTGTTCTCAGGGACAAAAGGCACAGTAGGCGCCAGCCAGGATCCCGGCGGCACCCAGCGAGGGCACTGCTCCAGGCTGCCTCAGGTAGCAAGGTGTTCAGGGTGTCCCCCATTTCCTCCTACCCGGGACCCATGGGAAGGATGGAGCCTCCTACCGTCATCGTTACAGACACATGCAAAGCGTGCAGGGGCCATACGCGTCCCCAGGAGGGGCTGGGCCAGGCCCCCCCTCCAGCACAGTCCCCAGCAGCCAGGGACCCAGGCGGCGCGAGGCTCGGGGACCGGGCAGGGAGGAACGGTGCCTCTCTTCCCCAGCGCTGGAGAGAAGGGCGTTACAACCCAAAGATGCTCGCAGCCTCCAGCGAGCACATGGGGACCCCTCCCCGTCGCCATGCCCATCACCAGCCCCGCCGCTGAGCCCGGGGAAAGCAGGTCCTCTCCCTGCCCACCCCGTCCCCTCGCCGTCCCGCAGCCTGCTCCGCTGCCAGCACGAGACCCTGCCCTGGGGGGAAGGCGAGCGCGTGGCCACATGTGCCGGAGCCAAGACCGTTCAATAGAGCCTGGAACAAAGAAACTCCCAACTTCAGGCTGCGAAGCACGATGCAACTGCCACCTCTGCAAGGACAGCGTGCCCTGGGCCAGCACCCCTCCTCTCGCCCTGCGGGGAGGAGGGGGTCAAACAGCCAAAAACGCTCCCCATCAGAGCCCCCCCGCGCAGCCCCACCGTGCCTCACCGTAGGTGCAGTTACAGCAGAGCCGGACGACGACGAGGATTTCCATGGCAGCCCCGTCTCCGCGCAGCCATCTCTGCCTCCCCTCGGCAGCTCAGCCCAAAAAAAAGCATCCTAACGAGGAGCGTCCCCCCTCGCCGCCGCTGCGCACGGCAACACAAAGGGCTCCGCTCCCGCGAGCCGCTCGGTAGTTCACGCGCTCCGGTCCCGCGCGGAGACAAAAGGCTGCATCCCCCTCCCCACACCCGCCTCGCGCATGCCGTACCCTCCATGGTGACGGACGTGTGGCTCTCCTTCGAGTCCTTGGGGCCTTTCACCTTCAGCTCCTACGGAGGGAAAGGCCCATGAGAGCAGCCCGCCGGGGGCTGGGGTCTGGGGAAGGTCGTTGCTCAAGGTCACGGGGAACCCCCCCACCCCTCGCGCACCCAGAAATCTCCCGCCAGCCCCAGGGGAGCATCTCCCAGAGCATCCCAAGGCTGGTCCCGCAAAGCCGAACACACGAATCTCCTGCTCCAGAGGGGCTGTAGGAAGCAGGGGACCAGGTCATGGCCACAGAGGCCCCCATTTATTCGGGGAGCACAGGACAAGGCACCGAGATGCAGCCAGTAGCCCCGGAGGGAGATGAGCCGCGGCTGACTAGCGGCCAGGGCCGGAGGGAACGCAGCAGCCATGCTTGCCGGGACGGGATCAGATGCTGTGCCGACGCTGGATGGGGTGAGCAGGCACGGGCTGCCCCAGCATCTGAGGAGTGAGGGCAGCAGAGACTAAGCCCAAACTGGCGTCTCGGCCAGAGCCCGGCTGCCCCCGCTCCCAGGAGGCAGCCTGCGCGCGCCAAGGCTCGTCTCCGACGCTCTCCCAAACCTGCTCACAACCCGCAGCAGTGGGTGCAAAGGGTGGCTGCTCCCGGCCAAAGCACGTGCAGGGCCAGGGTCTGACATCCCCCACAGCCTGGGGGGCACTGCCCCAAACTAAGCTTGCATAGGGGTACCAAAGCTTGAAGGATTCGTCCCAACACCCTGCCCAGAGGCCACTAATCTCAAACTCAGCAAAAATGGCCTTGCCCAAGGGACAGCTATTGGCAGTCCTTATGGCAGGGACAGCACCTTTATAGGGCACCTGGGAATGACTCAGCCATGGGGATGATGTTCTCTGCCCCACACCTGCCTCAAATACCACAGGCAGGTGACACAGGCTGCTGGAGGCCTGGCGATGACAGGGGCTGCGCACAGAGACTCTTCCCTGGCCCCAGGGTGCAGCGCCTGCTGAGCTCACCTCCGAGATCTTCTGGAACTGGTAGTTGCTCTGGCTGCATTTCTCCGCTGTTTCCAGCGCAATTTTGTAGTTGTCCACAAAGGCCTTGTACACCCCGAGCTGGCTGGCCTGTAGGGAAGGGGGGTTAGCCGCGCACCCAGAGGGATGCTAAAGCCTCCAGGGTGGTGAGAGGCTGGGTAGCAGTAGAAGGGACATGCCCAGAGCTGTCTGCTACCTGCAGGACAGCATGGGGATGCTCACACCCTCTGCCAGACCCCAGGGATCATAACCAGCCAAGGACAGAACAGAAGTCTCCATGTCCGCGTGGATAGGCCTTGGCCTCAGCGGGATGGTGGGGCTCGTGCCAAGCCCTGTGCCATCAACATGCCACTGACCCCCTGGCATATCTCTAGAGTGAATAGCAGAGAGCTAACTGGTGACCAAAGGGAGGCAGCTGAAGCTATAGCTGCTTCCCAGCCCCCTTCAGCCTGCCCTCTCCCTGCCATGTCCCCCAGCAAGGCACACAGCTCAGGAGCAGAACCTCTGCTCCCATTCACAAGTCAGAAGTGGCCCCAGGGAAGTCACAAATCAGCGTGGCCCCAGGGAAGCTATCAACGCAGCACCCGCCTGAGCCTGCAGGCAGCCAACGGCCCGGGGCAAAGAGGAAACCATTTCCCTGCCTCTCCCCAGAGGGTAAACCACACGGCTGCACCTGCCCTGACCTGCCGAGTGCTCATGCCAGCCCAGAGGCAAAGCCGACCTCTACACTTCAAGCCAAAACCCTACCAAGGTTTGCCCTGAGGGCTCACTGCCGCTCTGCGGTCGGCGGCTGTGCAAAGCAGGAGGGGAAGAAGGCAGCTCGTTCAGGAAGGCCTGAGCACGGAGCCTGCCAGCTGAGCGCGGTACGCAGCACCCCTGGTGCAGAGAGGGGCACCGAGGCTGCTCCCTGGCTCTTCGGCGCTGGGTTGACCATGCTAATCTCTGTCTGAGAGGCCACATTAGCGCTCCCAGGATGGGAGGGATCAGCCAGCAAGTAGCGTACTCTGGATGCAAGCAAACCAGACTGGGGGCTGCTACGGAGGGGGATCCAACAAGTTCCCCGGCCCAAGCTGCTGGTGAGCATATGGCAGGGCAAGAGCCGGGCCACGCAGTGGGACCGCTCTGAACATCCTGTAGCAGAGCCTCCTGGCGCTCCAGGTCCCCTGCCCTCCTCCTCCTAAGTAAAGCAAGCCCTAGGGAAGGCGCGTACCAGTTTCTGGAAAAGGTGGCCCATGGTGATGTTGCTGTCCCACTGCTGCACCTTTGGGGACAGGCTGTCATAGAACTCCTTGTGGATCTCGTAGATGTCCTGGATCTTGTAGAAAATTGTCTCAATCTGCTGGAGGGTGAGGACAGGCTGCGATGTGGTGGCTGTGGCCTTAAGTGGCTTCATATCCTGCCAAATGAGGAAAAGGAAGAGCGGTTGAGCCCAGGGCTCAGAGGGAAAATGACCCCAGAGACATTTCCAGCCCAACAGTAGGGTTCGCTGGAGGCCCATCACTGCCCAGAGCTGCACTCCAAGGCACCACAACCTTGCCAAGCCAGGGCACCACTTCTGTGGAAGCAAGCAGTAAAGGTTGGCCCCAAACTAAAGTTGTTTGCGCAGGGGTCCTGGGATGCTGAGGGAAGGCGGCTCTGAGCCAGGAGCGTGGAGTACGTGGGATGGGGTCTCAGACAGGTACCTCTTCCTTTGCGTGGCCAGGAAACGGCGGGGAGTGGGGGCGAGGGGCAGAGTCACTGCACAGGGGCCACGCTCAGTTTGTGCATTCATGCAAACTTCCCTGTCCATGGCAGCGCTGACCCTCATGTTGTGCAACTGTCTTTGCCATAACAGCCAGCGAGTTCACAAGAGGAAGCGAGGCTATAAATACCTCCGCACTAGGCATGCCGATGGAGGGGGAGGTGAGACGGGATGGCCAGGCCAGAGCAAAGCTGGCTCCAGTGTGATTGCTGATGCTTTGCTCCCTCCAAGGTAGCTCCCAGGGCACGCCTGCTCAGAGGAGGCTCTCTGGGAAGAAATGACCTTATCTATCCATCCCTCTGGGGAGCATCCTTGGGCATAGGTCCTCTGGCTGGATCTGTGCTTACCAACAAGAGTGCCTCCAGCTGGTTGATGTAGATCTCCTCGCTGGCCAGGAAACCAGAGAGCACCAGCTTCCGCATCTCCAGGCCTTTGCCAGCATCTCGCTCGCCCTGTGCAATACAGCAAGGAGCCCAGCAGAGTCAGCAACCAGCACAGGAGGAAACCCCTCATCCTGCCAGGCCCATCTGTGGGGATCCCAGTATGGAAACGCATCCCTGCCTGGTTAGGGGCAGCTTTGCAGCTAGGACTAGTGAGGCTGGGCACATGCCCGCTGGGTGGCACAGGCAGACTGGAGCCAGCTGGGAAGCCACGGGCTGTGCTGGCGTCATTCTCCTCCCCGCTCCTGCCTGGCCGGGAGCCCAGCACCACTGGAAGCACTCCAGGATGGTGGAGGCCATGGCAGGACTCTCCCAGGGCAGAGTCCAGAGGCGCTGGAGAAGTAGCACTTGGCGGCAGATGGCACGGCCACGTGATCCGGCACCACCCCTCTCCCCGGCTGGGGCTTTCCCCCAGGTCCGCGCCCACTCCCCAGGGAAGCACCACCCGACACGGCTGCCGGACACCTCCCACCTCCCGCTGCCCGGCAGGATCAGCGCGAGCCCTGGGCTGCGGTGGGATGCGGGAACAGTGCCCCATCTAACATGCCATTCCTCAGACAAGCCAGAAACCTCCACTTTCCTCAGCAGAGGACACATCTCACCCTGCAACACCGGGCTGCAAATGCCAGCGTGGCTCCCGTGGCACCCAGGCACGGATGCCACGTCCCCTGGACCTCCTCGAACACCCAGTGTGCCTGAGCATCCCACACCAGTTGCCCTAAGAAACACATTCAGGAGCTGGGCTTTGCTGCCCAGACCAGGGCCAAGCAGAGCTGCAACCCTGCAACATCAGGGCCCTTTTCGCACACCTTAATCCAGCTGCTCCAGCCCATTTCAGAGAGGGAGAATAAAAACTCCTAGCTCAGTCCCCAGTTGCTCCAGGCAATAAACCGTTTGGGATGCATGGGGGGGAGTTTGCTCCCGCACAGATGGCAATAGGCTGGTTGGGGTAGGGGAAACGCTGCCGAGAGACCCAGGCTGGTACACTGGAGCCAGCCCAGTGGGGGCACGCTGCCCTGGCGCCGGCAGCCCGCGGTGCCTGCGCAGGGGTGGCCGGATGTGGCG